TTTCATGAATGAATCTCAGGTGGCACTTGCTAGACCTGCTAGATGTGCCAAAGGATGAATTTTATCAGATACAGATGTGCCTGTGGCTAAACGAATGCAACAGGGAGGTGCCAGTGTAATGATATGGACTGGAATTGTTAACCAAACCATTATTGAATCATTCAAAGTTTATGAAGGAGTTAAACCGAACAGTACTATTGTGATTTCATGGACAAGACTTTCTTTGATTGGTACAAGTCCCAGCTTCACAGTTTCAAAGCGGAGTGTGTATTTATGCATGACAATGCTCCCTCTCATATATCTAAGTTTACCCTTGAATTTTTGGATTGTAAAAAGTTGATATGAGAGAAGATAATGGAATGGCTACCATCAAATCTTGATCTGAATTCAATTGAAAATCTATGATCAATTGTGAAGATGACATTTATGAAGTTGGCAAATAATATGACAGCAAAGTAGGCCTTATAGGAAGCAATTAAAACCACCATATTGGAAACTGAATTTGCCAAAGAAAAAAAATTAACAAAACAATGGATAATAAATAGATTGATGGTTGTTATTGAGAAGAAGGGTCACTATATTAAGATGTAAATGCTTCAAAGACTTATATGTTTGTTATTTGTTCTATTATAGGTGTGGATCAATTGTTGATTATTTTACCTTGTTATTGAAGTAAAAAGTGATTTCCTGGTTTTGCTTAATAACTTCCGACTGCATTTTTTTTTTTATAATAAATCCAATAACTTTAACAAAACATGTTGAAACTACTTAAAAATTTAACTCAAGTTTTGTTTTGATATCTGAATTAATCTTTTAGAATTTGACAAAATTTTTCAAACAATTTTTGAGTTATTGAAGTTTATTTGATTTGCATAATAACTTCAGATGGTCTGTATGTATATGTATGTATATATATATATATATATATATATATATATATATATATATATATATATATATATATAACTGTTTAGAAGAGTAATATATTTTTTTTGTATACAGTTAACAGTCTGTTGACTTCAATCAAAATAAATAAATGAAAACTATCGGGATCAAGTGGCACTTAGGAAGGAATTCTTTCTGGCTGCTATTCTAGAATGGCAGTCAGAAAGAACCCATCCATTGGCTGATGACAAGTGATGCATAAATGATATGCAATATCTAATCTCTTATATGGCACTGAATGCTGGACAATTCAAAGATGATGAAGAGATTTGAACTGACAAAATGTGCTTCTATTGAAAATTGCTAAGAACACCATGTACAGAACATGTGAATAATGAGGAAGTCTTACAGAAAGTTATACTTAGAAAGAGACAGTTGAAATTTCTGGGATAAATGATGAAGAAAGAGAGCTTTGGGATTTTAACACTCACAGGATGTACTAAAGGCAAAAGAAGTAGGAAATAAATTGCATAATGAGTGCAGAGGGATGGTAAATGGTCAAAAATTACTTAGAATAACAAAAGGCAGGAAGTTGTAGAGAGCCATGATTGCTAATGTCCTGAAAAGACTTAGAACATAAAAGAAGAAAACAGGGCCTGCATTCATGTTCATCCTCTTAACAATGATCTGATATTTATATGCTTGTTACAAAAGCAGATAAGAAAACCATAACATTCAAAGAGGAAAAGAAAAGATTACTAAAAGTGTGAGGTCTTCATCCATGCTCACTGTGTTAATAATGATCTGACTTTTTATGTTAGAAAAACAGGAAAGAAAATTATATCAGCATTGAAAGAGGAAAAGAAATGAAAAGATTACATGTGTGGTCTGTATCCACACTCACCATGAAAATGTTCTGATTTTTATGTGATTGTTGCAAACGCAGAAAAGAAAATCAGATCAACAAAAAAAACAAAACAAATGAAAAGATTACAAATTCCTGCATAAAATAATGATACATGTGCAATATCTTTTATTTTTTTATTTTATACAAGAGAATTATTTTTCACAAAATAAACATCATTTCATGGGTAAAATTATTTTATGATAGTTTTAGTAGATAAAGTGTAAATAATAAAATAGATGGAATACATTTTAAAAATTATCAATGTAATATTGATCTGATTTTTATCTGTTATAGAATCTGAAAAGAAAATAATTAACATTGAAAGAAAATTAATGAAAAGATTAAAAAATGTGGGGCCTGCATCCACATTCACCATGATAATATTGATCTGATTTTTTGTCTGTCTGCTATAAAAGCTGAAAAGAAAATCATTAATATGGAAAGGAAAGAAATGAAAAGATTACAAATAATGTGGGGTCTGCATCCACACTCACCATGATAATATTGATCTAATTTTTGTCTGTCTGCTGTAAAAGCTGAAAAGAAAATCATTAACCTTGAAAAAGGTAAAGAGATTACATAAAGTATTGATGCGTATAAAATAATGACATGTTTATCAAAAAGAAATATTTTAATTATTTATTTATTTTCAAATAATACTATAAACTCTATAAATAAGAAGTAACTTGACTTCAGGTTTTAAAGGAGTTTGTGTAAATATTAAAACTATCAGCATGAACTAGTAGGTATCAAAAAGTATAACTAAACCTACAATAGTAAAATTTGTAATTTTTTCCACTCTTCCAAATTTCTTTAGCAATTAGACTATTTTTCTCTTTCTATCACATTGTGGAGTGCCTGTTACTTATTGTTGACCTAAATATAAGGTTTATATATTTTCATTCTGATCTTTTCAACTTCAGGCAATAATTGTTTAAGTCACATGTCATATACTTTAACATGATTCTTTTTATTTTTGAGAAGAGGAATTATTATAATTCTGCATGTCCTTTCCTTAGTTAGCACATATGTTACATCCTGCCAGTACCTGATAAATAATGGACTATTCCGTTTTGATCATGAGGAAAGTCAGAAAAGACATATCAGAGATGCTGTTTGGTTTCCATGAGAAAAAACAAAGAAAGATAGAAGGGAAGATAGAAGAGGCGATAATTAGTTTAATGTCTGTTTCAGTAAAATGGGAAAAGTTGTCAATTTCAAATTTTTTCTATGTCTTGCCAATACCTCATTTTAATTGTGTGGAAAGACGGTGAAGACATATCAGAGACACTACTTGTTTTTAGTGAGAAAATGAAAGAAAGATAGAAGTGGCAATAACACTCTTGTGTGTTTATGTCTGTTACAGTGAAATGGAAAAGGTTATCAATTTCATATCGCTTCATTTGTACCCCCTTACTTCTTTAAATAACAACCAGCATTCATATTTATGATTGCTATTTCAATATTTTGTTAAAGTTGTTAAGTTCGAATATTTAACAATGCGATAGGGGAATTTCTATGAATATTTTATTGTCATAAAACTTGCCATTAGCTTACCACATTAACTTAAGAATTAAGATTCAACAAACTTGAACATTCCTGCCTACAAAAAAAAAATGAATGTTAAAAGGACAGTTTTTTCATTGACACACCAATACTATTTTGTCTACCTTCATTTCTTGGTAATGTTTATTCATTTAAAAAGTGATGATTAGAATTGTAAATGAATTTATACATATCCTTTGTTCTTGAGTGTAGACAACAAAAATAATAACCATTATAAGAGTGTTTATTTACACAATTTATTTATTAGATTGTTTATTGAAATTGTTGGCAAAACATTGACTAATTGCCAATTGATTCAAACTTTATAAAATGGTAAATAAATGTTTATAAATTTATGAATAAAAAGTTGTTTCCATGTTTATTTCTTTATAAGTTAGTAAATGACAAATATTGCATTACATTTGTTTTAATTATATTAGTTTTTAGAATGTTGTAAATATAAATTATTCTTGTAAATAGACAATCTAATAAATAAAATGTTTAATATTTTTGTTGCAAATTCTCAAGAACAAAGAAAATGTATAAGCTCACTTACATTACAATTGTAATCATTGCTTTTTAAAAGAATAAACATTGCCAAGGAGTGAAGGTAGTTAAAATAAAAGAAGTGTCAATGCAAAGGTACATTTGACACTGTTTTTTTGCAGGTATGATGGTCCAAATTTACCTAATATTCATCAGAAAATTAAAATAGGAAAGCCACAAAATTTTCCTGGGTATTTCTAATTATTATTATTATTATTATTATTATTATTATATGCTTAGTTATGTGGATGAGTGCACTCATCTTGGTTGTTATACTGATAATATTTTGGCTGTTGTATCTTCCAACCTTCGTGTGTCAGTTTTTTTAAGTAACCTTCTTGATATTTTGAGCCAATTCTTTTGTTCAATCCATAAGTGTAGATTCTTCTCATTTCACTTTGCATGATTAAGGGATATTTCATATCAGTCTTATTAACCTTTGTGCCACTTGTCTCTCACTGAACAAAACTATCTGACTTTTTAGCACTACCAGATCCAGAGATTGAACTCAGAACTGCTAGGGAACCAGATACATTTAACTTGGCCTAATGGATTAAATATTGGATTCCCTGAGAATTTTGAATTCAATTCCTAGGTCTGATAGTGCAGAAAAGTTGTATATTCTGACTCAGTAGAAGAAATAATGTGTAATGTTCACTCTATTTGATTAATATTTAGCACTGAATTAAGTGCATTGACAAGAAAGATTATGTTGCAAAATCAATATTTGTTGTATAAAATACATGTTTTTGTTTTATCATTAGACTGTTGATGTACTTACGTATGCCACCTTTTAAAATTCAATAAAAATTTTACCCATTTTTTTATAGCAAAAATCTAAATATTTTTGGCTGGTCTTAAATAGTATTATTATTATTAGTTGCTTTCAAGAGAAACTTCTATTGGAGAAATTTCAAAATTAATTATCTTTGTTTTAATCATTATAAAAGCAACAGCAAAAAAAATCAAAATCCTTTTTTTTTTCAACCTAAACATAGATTTCACATGTTGAAAATAAAAAATATGAGATTTGTGTTTTAAAATACTGATGTGAGTGTACCATTTTGATACCAAAATATCAATAGTATCTAACTTTCTTTCTTTGTTCTTGTTTCAGACAAAACTCTTTGAAAAGAAAAAAACTAATATAAGAGTAAAACTCATTCTCCTTATCTTGATTATTGTTGGCATTTCACTGTTTAGCCTCTTCATACAAAATATTCGCTTCTCATTTTTTGGAAAAAAAAAACTTCTTTTAGAGCCATGCCGAAACCTTAAATGCACAGTGAATGAAAATGATCGCTTTGATTGTCATCCAGAAAAACATTTAACAGAAACAAAATGTAAAAGAAGAGGCTGCTGTTGGCATAGTAAGAATGCCACAGTTCCTTGCTTTTTTCCTTCAAATTATCTTGGCTATGTTCTGCAAGAATCTGTCATCACAGAATATGGATTTTCTTTGACACTAAAACGTCATAAGCCTTCACCTTATCCAGGCGATGTGTTGAAGCTGCAAATGGATGTCTCTTTTGAAACAGAGACAAGATTGAGGATTAAGGTAAATAGCAATTGAAATTTGTTTATTAATTTTTTTGACTTTCTTTATTTGTAATTCTTGTTCTTTCACTTTTGTTTTAATGCTTTCTTTATGATATTTCCATTCTTTTTCTATTTCAATTCCAAAATGTTTTTACCATTTTTGAGCTTAGTTTATTTTTTTACTCTTTCATTTCTATTGTGTTTCTTTCATTCTGACTGATGTAATGGAATAACCAGTCACCCCTCCCATGAATGATTGCACTATAAGTAGTAAGTACCTATAAAGTCAACTGTCTACGAGAGACTGGGGAAAGAGTGAGAGTGAGAAGACGCAAACACGTCCGATCTTCCAATTAGTGGCACTCGCTACTAGATTGACCTGTGTGTATAACTGTACCATATTTCATATTGTACTGGTTGTGTACAATAAACCTTTCTTCTATTATCCACCTGGTGTTAAGTATTTATTCCCTTAGCATGAAATATAATACTGACTAACCTAAACAAACTGTACATTTATGATATTGATTCACTTCAGAATTTCACACAGTGAGGAAGTCTGAGGAACACATTGGTTGAAACATCCAAATGAGAATTGTAGTTGTAATTTAAATATATGAAGAGTGGAAACTATAAACTATCTCCCCTTGACAAAACAGGAGTTGTTCATATTCAGTTTCTGTGACTACTTACTTGAGAATTGACCATTACAATAGATGACTTTACAATAAGAATAATAGTCTAAATAACTCATATTTTACAAATAATTATGCAGGATAAATTTTCAGATGTTATTCTCTCATTAATATTGGTCTGAAAATCTGATGGTTTAGTGGTAAAATTTCAGGTTAGATTTTGACATAATTATAATATTATCATTGTAAAAATTAATAAGAACACAAGGCTAGATCTTTTATATGTAAAATTATTATTTGTTTACCTCCAGACTTTGTCAATTAAAATCAATATAAGGGTGTATGGCCTTGGAGGCTTTCTCTAAATGTGAATCTTCTCTGACTTTTCCCTTACAAGTAGGGTTATATATCTTCTTGTCATCTAGTTGTCTCATGTGAACACATCAAGTGAAACTGGGTCAATCAGCTGGGGCAGCCACTGACATCCTGTGAGGCACAAATCAGCAAATAGAGGCTACAAGGTCTCCTTCCAGATCAACTCTCTGATTTACCTGGCTACTTTGATGCTCTAGTATGACCCTGAGTACAAAATCTAATTTGGTATCTCTTAGGGTGAGCTACTACATATTGGGTCACCACAGATCAACTTCTTTTAGAACAAAATCCTTATTTATATAAAATTTGATTTAGACTTTTTGTGAATCATATGCTACATAATATTTTTTATTGATTATCATTATTATTGATCCAAACAATTGAATATTTAATGATAATAACTTTGGTCAGAATTTTAGATAAAAACCATGATTATTATTTTGTTTTTAATCAAATTCACCTCATGCAAGGCAGTAAAGCCACTAAGGTACAAGGGATTAATGAATGTGAAAGAATTAGAAAACAGAAACATTATTAAAGAGTGAGTAATCAAGAGGATAGTAGATAGCAATTGACATTGCATTTAAATTTTTAAGCTCAAAGTTGGCTGGAAAGCATGGAGCTGGATGAGTGTTCCACAACTGAGAAGTATGAGAAAAGAAACTGTTAGTATAGAACTTATGGTTACATCTAGCCATTTCAACTGTGAACTGATAAGACCCTGTTGCTAATCCAGTACTGTGCTTAAATTCATGAAGTTTAGGTACCATGGTGAAGAGCTCATCCAAACAATTACCATGAAAGTATTTTTTAGAAAAGCCACAGGGAAGCAATTTTATTTGGTTGGGACGTGACTGAAGCTGAGATGCTAAGTTAGAACCAATAATATTGCTGATTCATATTTCTGTTTGGAAATCTATTTTCTTTCCTTTAATTTTCTGAGATGATTCTTTTATAGAAATTCTGTTCCTGTTTTCAGAGTGTCCTGGGTATGATGATAAACTACATCCAGCAGCAAGGCCTCTGATTGGGAGTTTTGGGGAGTGGAACTACCTCATAATTGTTCCCAGGTTCACACTGACCTGGGGTGGTAGTACCTGTTAGGGTCCCGGCTATTGGCAAATAGTTAACCTCCTAACTAGGGTCAAAACACTATGAAAATATAAAAATAGATTTATAGTAAAAATACCAGAAATATATTTATGAAAAAAGAAAAAAAATATATTACCAGCAATACATTTAATTCTCTACAAAAACCCATCAATGAAACCTGATCTAGAAACTGATCACTTACAAAGAATACATATTCTATTCATACAAATCTATCTTAAAAATCTTGTTAAAATAACCCATTGATGTTGATATGCTGTAAAACAAAATAAACCAAACCTGATCTAGACACTGATTTCTTACAAAGAATACATATTCTATTCATACAAACCTATCTTAAAAATCTTGTTAACATTAAATAACTCATTGAGGTTGATATGCTGTAAAACAAAATAAATAAACCAAAACCTGTCTTCAGATTATTCTTTTTAGATTCTATTTTGGAATTTTTGTTTTTGTTTTTTGAGTTTCCAATTTATAATTTTTCTATTATAATAATATTTATTTTTACTTTCTAATTCTTTTCTTTTTATTCTTGTATTTCTGATCTACTATTTTTGCCATATTCTATAATTTTCTTGTATTATTTTCTTCTGTTATATTCATTCTCTATTTTTCTCATCTCAATTTACATTTTGTCTATGTTTTAGGTTTATTCCAGGAATCCCTTATATAAGCAAGGCAAACTTCCTAAACTTTTCAGTACAGTAATCATATTCAGTAATATCTGTTTAAGCTTTAAGAGAAAACAGATCAATGAAATAGTTTAATTTCGAGATAAATGATTAGAAATCTTTAAATTTTGTCGTGTTGTAACCTTTCTAACCTGTTCCACCAGTTCTAACCTTCACGACTAAGACCTGCCATGCCCCACCCATTGTGGTGAACCACCCTCATTCCCTTCATATTCCATTGGTGAGATGTAAGTTCCACTCCAGCAACTTCTTCCTACAAACATTTGCTTTGTGGAACCAATTCTCAATAGGATGCTTCCCTGATCACTACAACCTTAACCTGTTCAAGTCTGGGCTTAACCATTATATTCCCCACATATCCCTATAAATTGTACCTCTTACTCTTTAAGCCTCTACCTTGAGGGACTCTTAGTTCTTGTACAGGATTAACCTCATTGTAAAAAAAAAAAAATGTCCTCAATAATGTTGTCCTTGTCTTATAATTGTTTATATATGCTGACAAATGAAATCATAATAAACTGAACACATAAAAGATTTATTAGTTTTGCAGATTTCATAATGATCTAATACCAGACCCGTTTTTATTACCTTTGGCCTATAATCAAAACAGAAATTTATCTTTGTCAATTCAATAAAGTCATCTCTTACGCAATGTCCCAAATCTGATCATAACAGATTAAATGATATTTTTGCTTTTCTAAAATGTCTTAATGATAGCAACATGCTAGAACATGTTTATACAGTTTTAAACCCAGCTGTCAAGACAGTATTATGTAACTAAATTATTTACAAACTTTAACTTCCTAAAGATTAATATGACTACTCTACATCAGATTTTATTATTCAAGCCAATGTTCCTGCAGTAAAATGCGTATTAACCATAATATGGTATTCTCAGTATATATTTATGAAGAATTTCTTATGTTAGCTTCATCTTATCTATATTGTTAAAAATATTAATAACTTGTTTGGGGGCATCAGAGCTAATTACACCTTTGAAAACCTTTTTTTGGCAAGGTGAGCAGTAGTCAGCCTTGCAGAATATGATAGGACATTATTTTGCATAAATATACTTTTTAACATCTGTCTATATTTCTGAGATGACATATTGTAACTATTTACATCGTTCAAACTATCTTTATTGCCATTTTCATGTTTCAGCCATTGTACGCTCCTGCTTTCTTAAGGTAATATATGTTGAAATTTTGAACTATTTATTTAGTCCACAGGTGTAGAGTGTTCTAATTCCACATGCCATGACTTTTCTGGATATGTTAATTTTAGTTAATTCTCTTTAGTAACTCAACTCTCCAAGTTTTTATTCCTTCTGCTGTGGCCAGGTATTGAACTCATAACTCTTTGCATCAAGTCACTTTTTGGATTACTTTAACCAATGCTTTATCCACAGTGAAGAAGGCTGGACTGTACAACAGCTGAAACATTGTGAATATGGCAATAAAGCTGAGGACAACAGTCCAAATTATGTAAATAGTGTAAATAATATACTCTTTAGTTGAAAACTTCTTGGTTGTAACTTGTATTACTCAAAAAGTAGCTTGTCCAAGGACTTACAACAATTGTTCACCTTTATCTTGATAACATAATTAATTTAGAACAGATCTCTATTTTTACTTGTCCTGGGTATGATGATAAACTACATCTGTGTCCTGGGTAAGACGATAAATTATGTCCAACAGCAAGGCCTCTGATCAGTAGGTTTTGAGGAGCATGAAACCACCTCTTAATTGCTGGTGTTCCCAGGTCCAACCTGACCCAGGGTCGTAGCACCTGTTAGGGTCCCAGCTATGGGCAAATAGTTAATACCCAGACTTGTGTAAAATTAGATTTTAATACCAGAAATACTTTGTAATAAAAAAAAATCATTACCAGCAATAATTTTTGAAGGAAAAATTATTATCAGCAATACTTTAAAAAAAAAATACCAGCAATACAAACAGCTATACATTCTTTGGAAAAAATATGACCAGCTATAGATTTCTTCAAGGAAAAATATTCCCACAAATAGATTTTTGAAGAAAAACATATTACCAGCAATAAAAATTTTGTTGGCATTAAATAACCCATTGAGGTTGATATGCCATAAAACAAACCAAACCAATCTATTTTTACTGTCTACAATATTAATCCAAAATATTATTCCATCTCCCCATTGTTTTCTTGTAAGTTGTGTTGGTTGTCTCTTTCCATAAAGAACCCAAATTCAAGCTCAGCCATCAGGTCCATCTAATATAGCTCTACATTCATCACTTAAAATTACTGTTGAGAAATGAGTTTTCATGTACTTCTTCCACTTAAATGTTTCTCTTTGTGATATTTCCCTAAAAGTGGTAGTGTAATTGCTTACCTGTCATTAGACAATATTCTTAATATTCTGTCTCTTCTCTCTGTTTACATTTGCAACATCAGTTTCTTTAAATATTCTCTTGATGGTCAATTAACATTTCTTACTTTTTACCCTTGTATTTTTCTCAAATCTCTTTTACTAACAAACATTAAAGCCATTTTTTCTCATTCTTATCTTGCCAATGTTTTTACTTTTTTTTAATTATTTTTTATTCAATGTTTTCACTATTTACAAAGCTTTGCTGTCATCATTCAATAATTCTGCAATATCTTGTTTCTCTTTTGAGAAATTTTCTTCTAATGGCATATCTTTCTTACAGTACATAGCAATATTTATATATATGAAATTAAAATATAAATACTGATACTATTAAATATTTTTATTTATAATATGAACAACTCTTAAGTTGCATAATAAAATCTCACACCATCAAATAAATTATTTTAAATATTTGTAACAAAAACAAATACTATATAATGAAGTTTACATCATATATTTGTCATATAGATATAAAACATGGGCCTATGGCCATGTGATTAGAATATTTGCTTTCCAACCATGAGACCTATTCATAGTTGAATTATCAGCATCTTGATGTTTTTGATCTGGGGAGGTGATCCCAGCCTGTGGCACTTTTGGAAAGTACCTAAAAACCATAACACAGGTTGATCTAAGCCTTGTGAGTGAAATTGGGTCAATAAAACTATTTTGTAACCATCAACTAGCACAAAATCGCAAGTCATCATGACCATGGGTTTGAGCATAATGGTTTTGTTCAGTCTGTTGATCATGCCAGATACTGTGCTAAGGTTTGTTCAGTATCGTTGCAGTATTAGCCACAGATGGGCTCTGTGGGTGTTGAACAATACAAATGTGTCTAAGCTAGTGCCTGTAGTAAGGAATGGCTCACTACCCTAATAGACAGGTATACTTGGATACAAGCGGCCAGCCACCACAGATATAGGTATACTCTGAAATCATCAGATGTTTAATACTAATATTATTGCAAAAACATTAACTTGCATAATAATAATAGATATTGTATACGAAGCACATAAGATATACAATTCTATGTGTTTAGAAAAGTTGATAATGCTGCAGACACTGTTCAAACTCTTCATTGTGTTTATTTGATAGATTCTTTAAATGCAACAAATTGCCAAGATAGCACAAATGATTACATGACATGTTGAATCAACTTATTCTCTTCTGTGACTGCAGCAGCCATACAAACTCACTTGTTTCTTTGATTGAGAAGTGTTCATACATACACTGTAAGGTCCATTCTGATTGGTTGTCAAATTAGGTCAAGACTGCACAACCAGTTATCAAAATATTCAAAATGGCAGGACATGTTCCTGTGAGATCTTGTATAACAATTGTTTAAGTTGTTGGGGAAAGATTCCATGTGTCACTGTTTGTTAAATAAAAAAAATGAAAGAAAGGCATGTTCAAATAAAATAATGATATTTATTTAACATAAAATACATAATTTCTTAACTGTAACTACTATCATGAAATAAAAGTTTGTATTTAGAAAGTTCTTCTCTTTGACTGAAAAGGATAGTTTTTCACTTTTTCAGTGATGAATAGAGAAAGTGGAGCTGGGAAACAAAATCAAAGGGAGTCTGCTGTTGGTTTGGTGAGAAAGACAGGAAGATGAGGTTAACTCATGTCTCTCTAATGTTGTCAGTCTTTCTGCTGAGTTAAATGGATGTCTGGTTTATATGGCTTTGTCTAGTCTCGAGGAGCCTATGTTTATTTATTGACTGGAGCTGATTTTATTGGCTATTTTTTATTTTTATTAATTTGAAATATGTTTGAAACCGGAAAGCTGTGCACATCGTTTGTGTGGTGTGTTTATTTTTATCATTTGATCTTTTGATTTGAAGCAGTTAACTTCTGCTTACTCTACAAAGTCACTACTATAGAAAAATGATGGAGCTTGCTATTCATTTTTAAAGATTAGTCTAAATAAATTTTTGAATGCTAACAATTTTAATTGTTCATAATCTTTCTTCTATCATATTGTAAAATATTAATTTTCTTCTAGATTTTTGATCCAGTGAAGAAAAGATTTGAAGTTCCATTTCCAGTACCAAAAGTAAAAATACAAGCAAAAAACCCTCAATATGTATTTCAAACAACACCAGTGGGTCAGCTATTTCACTTTAATGTCTCAAGAATTGATCCAGTGACGTCTAAAACATCAACAATATTGTAAGTACATATTGTTAGTTGTCTTATAAATTAACATCTCTTTTAAAGAATGGGAATCATTTTTTAGTTGCTCTCATATAGTAAAATATTTAAAAATACATTTGATAAAATGATGCACTTATTTTAGTTTAATGCAGTGATAGAAAAGAAAATTGAAACACCCTGAATATATGTTTCAATTTGACTTACATATTTATAAGTCTACTATTCGTCAATACTTTGAATATTGCTGCTACATATGGTCTAGTGTTCCTGCTATATATTTAGAAATTCTTGATAAAATACAAAGAAGAATCTACAATGTTATTGGTCCTGATCTGGCATCTCGGTTTCAGTCACTTACTCACCTTTGTAATATAACTTCAATGTGTCTTTTCTATAAATACTTTCATGGCAAATGTTTTGGTTAACTTTTCTCTATGGTATTTAGATTTTATGAACTTATGCACAGTATTAGATTGGTGGCAAAATCTCATCATTGAAATGGCTAGATGTAACTATAAGTTCTATGCTAACAGTTTCTTTCATCACACTTCTCGCTTGTGGAACTCTCTTTCAGCTTCTTCTTTCCCAGTCAACTTTGATGATTAAAAATTAAAATGTCAATCGTTATCTTCTGTTTTCTTAATTCCTGTTCTTTTATTGTTCTTTCTTCTTAATAGTGTTTTTTTCTCATATTCTCTCACGCTCAGTAACCCCTTGCATCTTAGTGGCTTTGTTGCCTTACTTGAGAAATGATTAAAAAAGTCAAGATTAAACTTATTGGTTTACTTTAAATGATCACATATCCAGATCAATATATGCATAGGTATCAAAATAATGGCCTGAGCTTTCCACTGGCTGGTCAATGATTATCCTATGTTACATTCTGATTCTCAATCTTGTCAGTGAGCACTATGTTAGAGAAGGATATGCTGCATGCTGACAAGGTAACAACGCAATGAATGAAATGCCATGTCAAGAAATAAGAACGTGAACCTGTTTCCATACTATATATTGGCGTTTTATTCAGGGCTTTGCCTGCTCAACTAGGTGGATAGGTAGGTGATATTTGGGACAACTTGTGTTATGTTAGCTCTACCTTCTACTGAGTCCTTGCCCAAATACTAATCCTGACATGATGGTTGGTGATTTGAAATGGAGGCTTTGGTAACTGCTCATTGACATATCTGTCTCACCAAGGGTAGACTAGAACTCTCCTTGATCCCAAGCATGGCAGTTAATACAGACCAACACCTGTATATACCTTACTTCTGGTTTTGTTGCCCCTCATTTATCCTTTTACTTCTGTGTTACCCTTTGGTCAAAGTGGATTCCACTTAGAAGAATGAACTTCAAAAGCAATTGTCTTCTGGTCTATCAAACAGAAACATTTGAGATTGATATAAAACCACCTCTTCCCATTCTATGTGGATGTCCATAGTATCACATATGAACAGGACTCAGACCCCATATTAATACATTGTATATTCTCCTTGGGTGTATTATATCCCATATATGTTCAATGTCAGACAGGTCCTTCATATATAAAGCCTTTCCATGCTAATACCTTGAAAAAGGCATGAATGCAAATATTCATGTTTTAGTGATAGTTATTTTGACTTTTATCATTTATATATAAAACCTTTCCATGCCATATAACTTGAAAAAGGCATGAACACAAATATTCTTGCAGTACTGAAACTTATTTTGACTTTAATTCATTGCTTCTTTAGTGATTAGCTACTTCAGTAATTAAATGTGTAAGGTTTCTTACAGGAACATTTCATAGTACATGAAATAATGGTGGTGAAAAAGAGTACATGCACAAAATAACTGACCAATTGATTTGCAATGCAAGATAAGATTTATTAAAACAAAATTAACAAAAGGAGAGTTTAAAACAAGAGTTTCTTTTGTTAGAAATATGTGGTGTGTAACTCAACAATTCAACTGGTGATAGCAGGTAGGCACAAAGAAAACCGTGTCGCACGTCCAACCTTTCTCACGAGCCGAAAGCCTTCTGTCTTTAAACAGCAGAAACGAGCCTGCTTTTATACAGCTGCGGACCGACCACGATTTGCATGCAACGAATTTACGTTAACTGACCGAGACCACTCGGCATAAAACGCGGCGCCGCCATTTTGGTTTTCTTTTTTTACAGTTGGAAGGACCAGTGTTTACATACTGCGCAGATTCGAACGCGTTTCGAGGTAGGCCATTTTCACAATTTTCCCCACACTCCCCTGATCTCATGATCACAAACAGGGCAGGGAGGTGGCGATCGTCGCCGTCGAGTCCCTCTCCGAAGGGGGATAACACAAGCTTCATCCTCGTGCGTGTTCTTGTCTGTGGTTTGAGTGTCGGTAAATACTGTGTCCGCCGGGAGGCTGCTGTTATCAGAATCGCTGCCCTGCAGGTCTAACTCAAGGCAGATTGAACGCTCACTACTCCCAGACTCGGAATCGCTTTCATCGCTCGGTAGCGGTAGTGATTGCGTCACCGGTCGCATGTCTTTAATGTGACGAGGCACCCCATCAACTCTCACAGATTGCGGGCTGATAACCTCCGTAACACGTCCAGTGCCGTACTTTCGTACACTTGCCGCGTAGGTTTTTGACCCAAACGATGTCTCCTTTTTTCAATCTCCTCCAGTCACTTCTAGTTCAGGCAGCGGGTTGGCTTCGATGCCCTTCACGCGGACATGATATTTGTGCAGTGCATCAGCCGGCGCCGTGGATGGTGAAATGTTATCCTTCGGGGCGACATTATACCAGTAAACCGCTTCCGAAACTGTGCAGCCCTTCCTGGCTGCGATGGTCTTGATGGTTCTGTGGTTCCGCTCCACGATGCCGTTTCCACTTGGCGAGTAGGCACATCGAAACCGCAGATGCACGTCCCAAGTGTCCGCAAATTCTTTAAAATCTTTACTGGTGAACGCAGTATCGTTATCCGTCAGTATTTCCATGGGTGGGCCTCGCTCCAGGAAAACATTCTCCAACAGTCGAATGACGGTGCTCGCGTCTTGTCTGCGCAGCGGCCGCCATACCGCGAACCTGGAGGGACCGCAATCAATGAGTGTTAAAAATTCTCACCATTGTAGTGAGTTATGTCCATTGCCAGTCTGCTCCAGTTGCTCTTCACGCTCAGTTCTCCTCTTTCCCAGTGAACGGGTGCCGGATCGATCGACTGACAGGTTGTGCAGGCCTTCACAACGGATTTAACGCTTTCTCTGGACACCTGCGGGTCGACTAACCTGGCGAAGTACAGAGTTCGTTTCACGCCCGGATGTCCGCATTGACGATGCGTATTGGCAACCTGGTCCTCATCCAGTCGTCTCCCTGCCACTGCACAGCTCTCGAGTGCCGGTTCTCCTCTCTTGAGCAGTTCTAGCCACCTGTGCGGTACTCTGGTGAGGCGATCTGCACGGTTCTGACAGGACTGCACAAGTGTCACGTCTACGGTCAATCCATATTCGTCCACCAACGATCGCAAAATGCCCAGCCGTCGCCTGACCAGCATCTCACCAGCCGCCCTTGTGTTCACCCGTGCCTTCCCGGTCAAGGTGTCTGAAATCCACCGGTGCACCGAATCAGTGACCAAGTGCAACGTTGTCGCCTCCCACTGGAGAGCCAGATTCACTCCTTTAAGCGCCGCATCGAGTTCAGCCAAATTAATGTGCCTGGCATCATTAGTCGGACGCAGCCAGCACGCATCTTTGATGACATTTCCGTTTACTTCCAATGCCACTCCTGTCGCCACGGAACTCGCATCCACCCAGACTGTGATCTCATCACCACTCATGCACCAGTCTCCTCCGACGGGATCCATTTCCCGCACTCTACTTAACATCTCTGCTAGTATGCGACAGAGAGAGGGATCTTTGATGTTATCATCCCATCCATTGGTTGCTGCGGTTGCCAGGCGCTTGACGAATGCAACTGCCACCCTGAGCCATCCACACACTGGGAAGTGTCCAACAAGTTTCCCACACAACGAAAATACACGCCGCCGGGTCAACACATCAGGGGCTTCCGGAATTTGACTTCCTCGTTTCCATCGGAGGGTGCCATTTTCTTCCCAGACCTGCAAGCCAAGAACTCTTGCTCCATCTCTCAGTCGCACCGGATCCTTGCACACCAAACCGTAATCCGAAAAGTGTTGTCTTACACGCGATGCAGAGGCCAAACTTTCATTAATGAAGATATCATCAACGTATGCTGATGTGGCACTTTCAATTGTGCGGTCTTGCGATGCGATGGCGTCTATAACGGATTTCATGATGAGTGGCGCTACATTTAGCCCAAATCCTTGCCGCGTAAGACAGAAGCGTTGGCCTTGAAAATAACCGTTTGAAATGGCCACAGCGCTTCGTCGATGTGAATCTGAAGATATGCGTTCCGCAGATCCAGAAGCGACACATTGACTCCCTGCCGCCGCCACGTTCTCAACTTATGTGCGCACACTTCTGCATCGGCAGTGAAAGCATCCACAAAGTCGTTCAATTCGCGGTAATTGAGTACCGGACGCACCTTCTGTTTCTGCTCCTGCACGACTGCCATCAAGGGAATCAGACCCTTTGGGGGTCCCAGTCTTTCCTGGGGGTACGGAATCAGCCAGCCGTTCACAATCCACTGCTGAAGCTCTTTCTCGTATTTTCCTCTGATGCTGTCTGGAACTTTGTACTCAGTGACCTTGTTGCGAAACTGAACTGGCGGGTCTTTTTGGGCCCATTTCCACCTGGCGGTCCACACTCTCTCATCGGAATTGAAGGAGACGTCGAAATCCGGCTCACTAACGCAAAGGGCTGCACACACCTTTCTTCTTTCACCCAGTTCCACATTTCCGGCTGGCGTGATCATCATGCCTCCTAACGCTCGGATCGCATCAATCCCAAATAGCAGGTCGTACCCGAGGGGCCTTTGACGTGCCACCAAGACGTCGACTTTGGCATGACTCCCTCCGTCTGTTAGGACTGACACAGTCCCGACACCACAACAGGCCTGGGACACCCCGTCAAT